TATTATATATTATAAATATTATTATTGTGTATATATATATTATAAAATAACATATAAATATAATTATTATTTTATATTGATATATATATATTATACAATTATATAATTATAATATATACATAATTATATTTACAATATATTGTTATAATATATTTATAATTACAATATAATTTTAATATATACATATAAATATAATTATTATTTTATATTTATATATATATTATATAACATATAATTATTATTTTATATCTATATTTATTATATAATACGTAAATATGATTATTATTTTACATTTATATATATTACAAAATAATATATAAACACAAATTATTTTATAATAATGGAAATATAGTTAATGGATTTTCTTCAGTATTATGCGTGAAATAACCACATCCCCTAACCGATCGTGATTGAAAATGATCATCGTACATTTTCAAACCCTTCCGTTTTTTTTCTGAAGGAGAAACCTCTCCTTTGGTCCTCGGACGATTATCTCAGTCCCCGGGATCCACTCGGTTGCACGAGGATTGTCGTATAATAAGCTGACGGTGTTTAAACGGAAGCGAGCCACGGGGCCAGGAACAAGGGGGGACGCAGTAAACCGTGCGTGGTCGAACAGATTCGACGGTGTCCTCGTTACAGGCGACGTTAAGTTGCACGTGCTAGGCATATTCGTCGTATTGGCGACGGCATACAAGGGGCGCGCTTTGCCGGAACTGGGAACGTGTGTACATGCAGCCAGTGCACACAAGCCGGTGACATTTGTACTGATTAGTTATTCGTACGCGTCTGCCAACACATCCGCAATTAGATCGGCTCTTGAAATTGCCTGGGTTTTCCATTGGACGAGTTCTGGTGCGTGGTACGCGATTCGAAAGGTAGTTTCGTTCGTATTTAGCCACCGTTCATGGGAATCGGCCTGTCGTCAGAATCGTGATCACAGTGCGCTACTTTGTTCATCTTGAATAGCAATGACAAACGCGACATTGTGTCACGATCCATTCGAAAATGGATCTGCACTCCCGTAAGTTGTCGTAATTAAAACGTTTTAAAATTGTCGGAAATTTGAAAGTTTGTCGAATGAAGAGCAGCATTTATCTTTATATAATTATAATATATACATATATACATAATTATATTTACGATATATTATTATGATATATTTATAATTACAGTATAATTATAATATATATATAAATTTATTATTATTTTATATTTATATTTATTATATATTATAAGTTATTATTATTGTGTATATATATATTATAAAATAACATATAAATATAATTATTATTTTATATTGATATATATATAGATATAAATATAATCGAGATATTTAACTTGTGGCTGGATAAATTTAGAAATATTGGTAACTGATAACATAAGTGGTATAATGTTTTTGCGTTTCTATATAATTTACCAATCTGATTAGTATGAGAAACATCGTTTAGAAAATAACACGTTTTTGATAGCTATAAATGGACTTGAGCCACTTTCAAAATTCATGAAATAATTTTTTTAATTTTTAAAAAGGCACAAGTCTCTTGGAAAGAAAAAATAAAATTCCTTTAAAATGAAAAGAAATGTTACAATTTTGTGTTATAAAATTAACAAATATCCAACTTTTCATTCACTTTATGTATTGAAGAAATGTTACATGTCAAATAATATTTCGTAATTTATAATTCATTCTTTTCCAATTTGCTTATACGGGAGGGATTTAAAATAATTATGGTGTACAGATAGTATACAGTGTAACAAGTCCGTTGTTTCGTTGTATTTTAGTGTTGCGATCGGTCTTACATTTTTGTACAGTGGTGTCAATTCAATATTATTAAAGTTTCTTGATTTTCCCAGACGCGATAGTAAATCCAGATGTTTGAATAGCGCGTCCTCATTCATTGATGTTTTATAGAACATTTTGTATGGTTCAGTTCTCAAAAATCGCATACAACAAATTTTTAACCAATTTACCCTTTCCCCATTAGTATCTTTTAACCTTCTAAAAATCGCATCCTCTAGAGGTTTAGCTGAAATGAAATCCTCTATATTTAATGGAATTATTATTATTTAAAAAAATCACTATCTGAGCTAATCGAACACTACTACTCTAATAATAAAAAGTATAACTCTCATCTCATAAAATTTTACCGCATAATATATTTCATCAGTTTGAAACTCTTAAAATTTTCAAGATAAAAATCTTTATCGTTCTATTAACCAGCTAATTTTCTGTACAAAATCTTAGTGATTTTAAATATATCAGTCACCATTTGTTTAAAAATGAAAAGATAACGTAAATATTAAAACAGCTAGCTTGATTTTTCTTTTTTTTTTTTTTTTTTTGTTTTTGGAAAATGGACTTAAACCATTTTCAAAGTAAACAGCTCGTATACAATAAAGATGAATTCATGTTATTCGTATAATATATAATATGTAATATATAATATATAATACATAATATATAATATATAATATTTAATATTTAATATATAATATTTAATATTTAATATTTAATATATAATATATAATTCGATGTATTTATTCAATATAAATCTTTAACATTTTATATGAACGAACATATCGTTTTAATGTGATCACGACTTTTCATAGTAATCTAAAGGACATTTGTAAATCGTGCTGGAAGGCAGCACGAGAATTTTAAACGTTCTTATTTTCAGTAGTACTTACTCATCGTATTGCTTTATTCGTAACTTTGCTCATGAGGAATTGATCGTTATAACGAAAGAAGTCAAGTGTTCAACACACATTTTTCATTTTCAACCGAAGATTTAGCTGCGATGACCGGTTGCATTAGAGATGAAAAAGGAGGATTGGTACATCGAATTCGGACCAGTGAAACGCAAAGAGAGGTTTCTATCGTGAAACCAATTGCTGGATCACGCTACAAAATTTTTTGTTTTCATTGTCCATTTGTTCAATTGATGGTACAGTGCACTCGCTGATGTCAGTTTCTACTCGTATATTTTGATCTAAAAATGGTCGAAATAAGATGAACATCATCGATAAAAATTTTAAAGAAGACAGAAAATTAGATAATAAATAATAAATAAAAGGAAAAATATGCTTTTTATCGTAATGTATAAATTCTGCGTCAATAATTGGAAACAATGATAAAATACTATCGACGCGTGCTTTGACACTGCATTTATTCTGTTTGGTTCGTCGATATAAGTTTGGCGATGCTATTTTTGTCCTAAAGTTGCAATATTTTTTCAGTTTTAAGTATATTTAAGTATAATCCAGGCAAAACAGACGATAAATTTATTACTTCTCAATAATTTTCTCTCCAGTGATATCATACGAGTTCAGAAAGAAAGCGTTCGGTCGCTCGTTACGGTCCGCAATCAGTTGCCAGCGCGAGTTGTTAAATTTAGGTTTAGCGTCTTAGGTTTATCAACAGCTAGGTTATTGACGACAATTCACCGTGAAATTATAGAGGTGTAAATATTACACAGGGTGGAAAGAAAAGTTTGCCCACGGCTATGATAGAATTTTGCACCTTCGATTATGAAAATTTCAAGGTGAAGGTCAATTTCTCGGCTGGTTCTTCACATGTATTTCCATCAAATCGAAGGTGTAGAATTCATTTTTATGATTAACCACGGACAAACGAGTGTATGTACTTTCCAGGTACTGTACAGGTGATTAATTAATTTGGATTACATTAAGTTAATGGAAAGTAGCTGTCGAATTTTCCTGCAATTAAAGCTGTCTTTGACAGATGGTTCCAATTTGCACTTATCAGAGAAACGATTGCATTGTATTTAGTAATGTAGAATTAAGTGTTTGCGTGGAATTGTGTCGTTGCACACATTGTATCGGAGAGAGATGAGTTTATTTTAGTTTACTAGCCTCCTTCGTATCGTAAATCTTCATTTTTCGAATATCTCAGTATTCGAATATGATCGAGCCTTTTTTTTTTAATTACAACAACCCCTCTTGTAATATACAGCACGATTCAATGAACTCGGAAAACGAATGTGTGAAAACGAATTTTTCCACCACAGTTGTTTCTATATTTTAACCACTTGCTCTGGTAACTGGTTGCGGACCATAACGAGTGACCAGAAATCGTACGCGATAATTCGGTCGCTTTCTTTTTGAACTTATTGAGAAGTAATAAATTTATTTATTCGTTTCGCCTGTTTTTTTTTTTTTTTTTTTTTTTTTACTTAAATATACTTAAAACTGAGAAAATATTACAATTTTGAAGCAAAAAATTCTCAACGTGCGTGGCACGTCATTCGAGCGCAAGTCGTTGAGTTTCGACGCAGAACGAATAAACCGTGTTATAAGAGGGATGATTGTGTCAAAAAAAAAATCATTGTGTTATAAAAATTGTTAGCAATTTGAAGGTCACCTGTAAATATTCTCTTTTGATAATATATAACGCTCGAATATTAAGACAATAAAAATAGTGAGAGCCTTTATTGTATAATACATATAATTAAATATGCATTATATAATATTACACGTATATAATCTGATATAATATAATATAATGTAACATAGTATAATATAGTATAATATAATATAGTATAATATAATATAATATAATATAATATAATATAATATAATATAATATAATATAGTATAATATAATATAGTATAATATAATATACCAGTGTGCCAAACTCATTAGACTTACGACAATCCAAATCGACCCTCCACGCAACGACCGCCGTTGTAACAGGGGCTGCTTCTGCAGGATTCGCCCTTGCTGAAGTTTCGCGCGCCGCATGTACATTCGGCGATCACGTCCACTCGCACGCCAACCAGGGCGGTTCTGTTCGCATTGACCATGTACGGCAAGCTGCTGATGTCCAACGTGTTCGTGCAACTGCCCTCGCAAACCTCGTTCTCGTAGTAACACTCGTCGATGCCCACCATCGTTATGTTGATGCCGACTACATTCTCGATCTGTTCGGATTTGAAATTGAATTGCTCGAGTTTGATCTTCAAGTGTTACTTCAAGAGAGATTTCTCTCTTCGAAGACAAACATGAATGCCTTGTGTGTGACAAATCATGTGGGGCACTATACGAGATTATTGAACACGTTCTGTAGTTTCAGTCTAATTTATGTTGATTTACCTCTTCACGATGCATCAGCACGATTCCATTTAGTCTCACAGGCTTGTAATACGGCGACCCATGCGCCGCGAATCTGACGTCCGTCAACGGCGGATGCATCCTGCGCAACTGAACGCTAAACACGTCCACGTTCTCTCTGTCGATATTCAACAGATGCGCCAATTTGTCTCTAAACAGTTCCGCCTTGCTACGCGATATAGTCTGTGACTGGAAGGAAGAAACGATGAACGATTGAACGGACGTTAGAGAGAGAGAAAGGACGAACGAGACGCTTACTTTGTAATCCCAAACGCGAATGAAATCTTCGTCGGTTATGCCGGATATTCGAACCGATCCGGAATTTAACACTGCTTCGTGAGGAATCGTCTTCACTGTGACCGTCACGTTCGCCGGTACGTCGGTCTGCGTGTGCTTCCGGTCGTAGACTTTGAAACGCAGATGATATCTACCGTCGTGAGTGCCCGATTTCATGTAAATCATACCGGTGTCCTCGTCCAGCTTGAACTGCGGATGCTCCAAACCCTCCCAGTAGAACTTTTTGTCCGGCAGGTCCCAGTCGTCCAAATCGAACACGTAAACTCTGCCTATCTCTGTGTCTGGCGATTGTCCCTGTAAAAATCGAAATTGGTATCAGTGTCGAAGAAATTGGTCGTCGATATTCAACCGCTTTCTTATTTTTTTTTTTTTAATTCGATCTTCGACAATTCCCAATTGCCGATCAACAATGGCATTAAGAAAAATCTCACGCTTCTGATATCTGTTTTGGCAATAACAATGTGTTATCAATAGGTTCACCGAAACTGAAATCGAGCCTTTGAGCATCTGGATGAAATAAGAAGATGGAGGCAACCGATTTTTAATACCGTCCGCAAAATTCATTCCTAATTTAGGACTAGCTGGAAGAAATGGCACAACATTGTAGGTCATTGGATTCGTATTGAAACCAACTGTCGAAATGCGAATAAGAAAGTGTGACGGTTTGATTTAAAAGAATCAAATAGACGTTGAAATATTCCTCCACCATTGTATGAATGAAAAAATTGTCAACACTAACGTAAGACATTTTTTTTTATACTAAACAGCTTTTGTATAAACGTTTTTTTCGTAGCTTCAACCCATTACGAGATATTTCACTGTACTCAGACGAGACATCCTGTATTGTATAATTTATATACATATACATAATTAATACAATTTATTTAATTTTATTTATTTAATTTTATTTATTTTATTTGATTGATTTTATTTTATTTAATTTTATTTATTTTATTTGATTGATTTTATTTTATTTAATTTTATTTATTTTATTTAATTTATATACATATACATAATTATATATATATATAAAATTTAAATATATCTTTATTGTTTAATATTTAATAAATATTTTTGTTGTTTATCATTTATTGTTTAATATTTAATATTAATAATTGTTTAATATTAATATATTTTTATTGTTTAATATTTAGTAAATATTTTTGTGGTTTTAAATATTTTTGTTGTTTATCATTTGTAATTTAATATCCAAGAGTTTCCACGTAATAGTTGCGATAAAACCGTATTAAACAACAAGACGAACGCAACGAAGAAGATACAATAATATAAATACTTACTGCATAGTTATATACAAAAATGTCCTTCGAGCCAGGTTGCATTTTGTTGTCGTTAATATCGCCGATGATAACCGTTAAGGTGCTGGTCCCAGACATCGACGGTGTGCCCGTGTCCTTGATAACGATCGGTATCAAGTATTCCTTTTGTTGTTCTCTGTTGAACGACAGTAACGACGACACAATGGCCATGCCATCCCCGTTCGCTCCCTCTGTGCAACGAAACAAAAAGCGGTTTGTCAGCTGGCCTGCCAGCCTACGGCCAACAAACGCGATAATACTCACTGTTATCGCTCTCAACTTTGAAACTGGCACGAATCACGTCGTCCGCCTTCGGGTCCATTCTGAAAGTGAACGGCGGGCCGTTGCTCTTTGATCGATCGTCGTCGTCCGTCGCTGAGATCTCGACTACTTTCTTCTGCTGCGAGTGTTCCTGCAACACTGGCCTGTAGTCCTTGAGGAATCGCGGCGGATTGTCGTTTATGTCGTGCACGATCACCGTCAACGTGGCCGTCGCTGTCTTCGGCGGGATCCCGTCGTCGATGGCCAGAATTTTCACCTGAAACGAACGACGACAATTCATTGAAGCGAGGCAAGCTGTGACACGGGTAATAACGATAATTTATCTTCAGGGATCGGTATCCCTTCGTCGTGGTTTAAACGCTTTAATGGCAACATGGATGCAGTGGTCTCAGCGAGGCAACCGCCCCAAAAGTTCAAATTTCAGTTGTTCTCTGAAAGTGGCCTCGTCCCATCTGTGAATGGTCCTGAATGAAGGCTCTGATCTGTAATATCTACAGATAGATGCGTATCTCAATCCGATGGCTGTGGGGGCTTTGTGCCTGATGCACACGCACACACACACACACACACACACACGTAAAGTCAACTGCATCTTGTTTCTCAAACAGAAGCTATTTCGGCGATTGACTCGAAACAGAGCCCTTTCAAACCTTCGAAATTGACTCTGGATTGCTTACTCGAGGTACAAAGATCGTATTCATTCCTCTCTGCTTAAACAAGCTTCGAAACACGTTTCAGAAAAAAAAATGGAGGAGCAGTCAATTATAGTATATAAATTGCAACTTATAACCTAACTAATTGTTTACAATTTAATATATTATATTAAATTTTAAACAAATGCACTAACCGAATAACCTGTAATTGTAAAATATCGACGGATCATTCGTGAGAAATGTTTTACAAACTCTATTTTCCCGCCTTGGTTAGTGGTTTTCGCTTCCTGGATCTTTTCAAGAATAAACCTTTCGCCTCGTGTCAGTTCAATCGTTAATTATCAATTCTGAAAAGCAATCTACCTGATGCCTGGGGGTCTCCTCCCGGTCGAGGCTCCTTTGAATGGACACCGTGCCGTTTTCGTTGATGGAAAATTGCCTCTTACGGTCGGAGCTCCTATCGATCGAGTAGAACACCTTGCTCTTGCCACCTTGGTCAGGATCCGTCGCCGTGAACGTCTGCAGGCTGCTTCCAATGCGAGCATTCTCCGGCACCGTAGCCTCGATGTTCGCCTTCTCGAACTGGGGCTGATTATCGTTTATATCGCGCAGCTTCACCACCACCCACGAATAAGCGACGTGGTACTTGTCGTTGTCGTTGTCCTCGCCCTGCACAAAAATTACATCACACGTTTGTTTCTCAAAGATCGAAACATCATCTCAACTATTTTTAAAGGGCTGCTAATTCGTGCCCTTTCGCAAATCATCTTTGTTCTCAGATACCTTGTCGTTCACTTGTATCCTAAATCTGAAACCGTTGCTCTGCAATTGGTCCTCGTAGTCCAACGACTGCACGATCTTCAACGAGCCAGTGCCGTCGTTGTTCCTCACCATGGTGAACTTGTCAGCACCGTAACCGCTACTCTCAATCACCTGTTGCAATTCAAATGTGTTTTTTTTTTTTTATTTTTCTGTTAATTTCCAACTGTTAATTGGGGTACGAGAGGTACCTTGTACTGGAATTTGTTGGTCTCGTCCTCGTCGTGCACGGTGACCGTGAGAATCGGCATTTCCGGCAGATCTGGACCCTCCGTTTCATCCACTTCGGTGAACCACTCCTCCTTCGTGAATTGCGGCGGCATGTCGTTTATGTCTTTCACTCGTATAGACGCCGTCCCCGTCCCTGATTATTGGACAATTCATCGCGAACGATTGGCACGAGTGAAAATGTGAAAATATTCCTTCTTTTCGTTCAAGGATTTTCTGTGCTGTTGTAACTCACCCTTTAACCCCCCTCCATCCATCGCTACCACCTGTATAGAATAATCCGGCGTACGTTCTCTGTCCAAGCAGCATACCGCCGTCTTTATCACGCCGGTTTCCGATTCGATTTCGAAGATTGGCGAACCGGTCTCCTCCTCGATGACGTTCTTCTCGATCGAGTAGATCAGCTTGGCGTTTGTACCCTCGCTTGGGTCATCGTAATCCACCGCTGTCATGGTCATCACGACCATGCCTGGTGGTGGCAAACAGGAACAGATCGAGCGTCCGAGTAAATATTTTTTCTTTTTTTTTGCGTGTTGTCGACGAAGCGAGATATTTATGGCAAAAAATCGTTAATTTTTACAATTCTTACAATCAACCGTTTTTTAGAATGTTTCATTGATTTCCTTTTTAGATTCAAGAACGAAAGAAGAATCTATGGGTTTTTCATTTATGAAATATATTATACCTCTTTTCGATAAATCTACAATATTTACTGTGAAACTATCTTCATAGTACGTAGGACGACGAAAATATTTCTCGGCGTTCCCTCAAGCAGATTACATCGATTCGAATTCGCGAAACATTTTTTCGATTTTTGTTCCATGCTCATAAAAATCGAACAAATAACATGGAATTTCATCAGAGCGGGTTCAATATTGTAATTTTCTGTGATAAAGAAACAGTCGAGTTCGATGAATTTTTAGAATTTACGATGTAAATTCTCAGTTTTCCAAACATTGTTTTTCGAAATTTGACATTTCTGCAAAATTTCATGATTACAAACATCTACAAAATACGTCAGAATGTATCACGCACTTTCCTTTCGTTTCTTCTCTTTCTCTTCGTTAATTCAGGCTACATCAAGATATGACATAATCTTCTCTAAAAATATCTCTATATTCACGTAACTCATTTCATTTCTAAACTTTACGAAAAATCATTAAAAAATATTGTGCGCATAATGGTTTGCTTGAACTTGTAATGATCGTAACGGAACTTTTAATAAAGTTGTAATGATCATGACTGAACAAGATATGTGTCCAAAATTCCTTTCGTTTTGTATTTCATTTCCCTCGTTTAATCGAAAAATTTGAGAAAATTTCATCACTTCTCCAGACCACAGACGAGTATAGGAATAAACATTGCAAACAGTGTATTTTTTCGGCCATGATTTTGAGGTCATCGTAACCTCGTTACCATTTTTGTGTCACGCCCTGTCATACCGATTCAAGCAGGTTTCACACTATAGCGCTACCAGTGGTGAGAATTGAAATTAAAAAATATGAACACTGTTGCCAGATCTGTTTTGAGAATTATTTATTGAATTTAACGTTCTCAATAATAATTTAAAACATAGATTTGATGAAAATTGTAATGAAAAATTTGACTATTTGAACATTTACTTAACATTTATTCGAACAATATTAATTGAAATGTGATATTAGATGTGACGTTGTTTCTATTTGCAATATTATGCGTAGATTCACAACCCGAATGAATCATCTTCATCACGTAAACTCGGCTCTATGAAAGTTTGAACTTATCAATAAAATATTTCTGTTAAATATCGTTTGGAATGAAGAAACATAGCCGTTTCGAAATTTCGAAAATTAACTGTTTTTAAACGACACGACACATTTTCCTTTTCATAGTGCAATGTTACTTGTTAAACTAGTATACTTCGTCTGTGTCTGGGCTAAAAGCATCAAAAGATGGAAAAGTATAAAAAAAAATCTCGCTGTTGTTCTTCTCAATCTTTGTGAAATCTCAGTCAGTTTGATCATCAGATTGTTACTAAATGTTATTTCGACGGAGGTAAATCGTTTCCATTCGTAGCCATCCTGTTTCGAGCGATATTTTATAAATAAATAACCATCATATTTCAGCGACACAGTTCGTGGGAAGGGAGAAAGGCAATATTTTCTTGGTAGTGAAAAAGTAATCCGGCGTTACCTGCCGTTCCATTTTCCGTGACGTTCCCGAAATAAATGCCCTGTGGGAACGTGGGCGCATTGTCGTTGATGTCCTTCAGGTTCACCTGAACGTCAGCATACCCAACCAAGCCCTCCCCGCCCTCGTCTTGAGCAAATACAGTGAATCGCCACTGCGGCCGCCCATTTGGCTGATCCCTGTCCAGCGGCTGCGTGCGATGGTGAAAAGGGAAAAGAAAAGAATATCACCGGCATTACCCGGGTTTTAAATAGCTCGGGATCCGAAACAAATTTAATAAAAGGAACAGGATCCTCTGTGTCTACTCTTTCTGTATTATCACGAGGGACTCTCGCGGGCTCTGTGAATTAAATACGCGATTTATCGTCCAAGGTTTAACCTTCTTGTTCTCTCCAACGTGACGTTTTCTTTTTCTTTTTCTTTTTTTTTTTTTTTTCAAACACCAAATCTTGAGCAAAAGCAGCGCGAGTCTGTTTGAAGCGGAATTTGTACGAAGTTAGGGGTACGATGCTTTTACGCGGGGATATACGGATCTTTCATCATCAAAGATAGAGATTTGTTAGTTAACTTGATTAACATGCCGCTAATATCACGCTGAACTCCTTATTGTACAATATTATCATTTGCAACGGATAAGTCAGAGCAGATAAACATGCGTTCGATGGACTTGTTTTACCTTATTGTTAAAACATTGCAACGGGACATAACAAACCTTTAGAACGTAAATTTCACCGCTGGTGCGGTTGATGTCGAATTTACTGTTCGCCGGATTGTCAGGATCGATGCCCTGGCCAGTTAAAAAGTAGACGATGTCCTGCGGCCTGTCCTTGTCGCCGTCGGTCGCTGTGACCTACGTACGAAAGTTTAGATTATTATCGACGATTAATAAATGTAATGTCCCAATTACAAGGTCAACTCTATTCGCACTATTTTTTTTTTTAAACTCGTATTGTTCGTCGCGTGTTCCCGATATTGCTGTTTAAAGCGAACGACATTGAAAACGAAAAATTTTCACAAAAATGTCCCCGGTAAATTCATTTGCAATTCATTCATTCGTCAAGCTTAGTATAAGCTCTGATCGCGGGCCATAAATTATGAATTTCACGTTATAACCGGTGCAACGCGCGCCATACTCTATGCCTGCATATTTCATATTCCGCGCTACGTATTCTATATTGTACGATCCATACTTTATATTTCGTATTACTTGTTTCATATTCCGGATTTTACGCTCTGAATTCTATATCAGCTGGTGGGCTATAAACGCGCGTACTTTCAGCTACGTACTATAATTTCCGTTTATCCGGAAGTTTGCTGCGAGGCACTTGTAAAAAGTGACGTAACGACACCTTTTCGCACGAGCTTTGGATTAACTTTGAAACAGTCGAATTTGCGTTATCAACGACTCGATAATCCGTCCTTTTCTCGCTAGTAATCTTCGGATATGAGATTATCTTCTTTGCCTGCTGCCCTTTCTTTTCTTTTTTTTTTTTTTTTTTCCTTCTTTCATCCGATTCAGAACAAAATTGTGAAACATCAAGTGACACGAGAAGAGTAGAACATAGGTTGTTGAAATTAGTCGAAATTACAAATTTTCTGCCAATTGAGACATATCAAGATTCGAGATACTAGCAGACTAACAATATTGAATTAATAGAAACCGCAAATTTTCTGCCAATTGACACGTGTTAAGATTGAAATGTAGCGTGTCGAATTAATCGAAATTACAAATTTTTTGCCAATTACTATGTAGAATAATGACTACTGAGTCAGTCAAAATTACAAATTTTCTGCCAATTGACACGTATAAAGATTCGAGACACCAGCATACAAACATTATTGAATTAATAGAAACCACAAATTTTCTGCCAAGTGACACATGTTAAGATTGAAATGTAGCGTGTTGAATTAATCGAAATTACAAATTTTCTGCCAATTGACACGTATCAAGATTCGAGATACTAGCAGACTAACAATATTGAATTAATAGAAACCGCAAATTTTCTGCCAATTGACACGTGTTAAGATTGAAATGTAGCGTGTCGAATTAATCGAAATTACAAATTTTCTGCCAATTACTATGTAGAATAATGACTACTGAGTCGGTCAAAATTACAAATTTTCTGCCAATTGACACGTATAAAGATTCGAGACACCAGCATACAAACATTATTGAATTAATAGAAACCACAAATTTTCTATTAATTGACACGTGTCAAGATCGAAATGTAGCGTACTAAATTAATCGAAATTACAAATTTTCTGCCACCTGACACGTAGAACATTGATCATCGAATCAGTCCAAAAGAAAAAAAAAAAAAAAAAAATTTCCACTATTAGAATTAAAAAAAAAAAATTATTATCCAATACCTTGAGAAACTAAATTGAAGATTTTTCTCTTCAGTAAAAAAAAAAAAAAAAAAGTCGAACAGCGAAACTCGTGAAGTGCAACGAATTTGTCCGAATTTTAGATCAACAAAAGACGCAACAAAAAGAGAAAATAAGTCTGTCGTTTCGTGGTCTTTCGCTCAAAATTCTCAAAGCGTTTCGACGTAATTATCGAAAATCACTCGACGTACGAGAGTCAGAGCGCAAATTGGAGTTGCAAAGCGAATGAATAATTACCCCGAGGACGCGTTTAGGCAGGGTCCTGTCGTCTTCCTCTGTGATCTGCGTTTTGTAAGTCGGTCGTTCGAAGACAGGCGGATTGTCGTTCACGTCCTTCACGTGTATCACGACTGTCGTGTAATTTTCTTTCAGGTTGTCGGACGCGGTGAGGCGGAGCTCGTACTGCAAGATTAAAAGAAAAAATCGGGACAAGTGGTAGATAACGCAGCGTGTGCAGCTGACCGCTGTTCCGTTTCTGGGGGATAATGGAGGTGGGTCCTTCCACCGATCGTGAAAGAAAGCAAAGAAAGGGGCGGAAAAGACGGGAACGGGCGGTTGACTCTGGAAACAACGAAGGCTCGAGAAGATAAAGTCGAACACGTCAGCGAAAAAAAAAAAAAATCTATTCCTCTTCGTTTATCACCGCAGAAACCCAGAAAAGTGTAGACGCGCGCGAGAAGGAAATTTGTTAAAAAAAGAAAAAAAAAAAAACCGAGATTTTTGTAAAGAAAGTTGCCGAAACAATGTACATTTTGTTTTTTTAGAGCACCGAAGGAGTCTAAAATCTCTTTGCAGCGAACGAAGCTTTCTCCCTGAGCTGAGCAACCCTCCCGTTTCAACGAAACAGGATAAAAGATTAATCAAGTAAATTGAATCCTTTGATCCTCGCGAGAAGGAGAATTATTCTCCGGACGTCGCTCGGGCGAGAGTTATGCGAGAATTCGGCGAACCTGAAACAGAGTGAAACCCGAGCTCTCTCGACGACGAAAATTTACGATAATACCATTCCGACGAGAGAGTTATCAAAACAGCGACGAACGAGAGTAACCGTAACCGAAGTGGCGCGCAGGTTCCCGCGCTGTTTCACAGTTTTATCGGGCCGCGAGCAATGAAACGCGAGAGGCTTTGCGTTAAAAGGATTAACCGAGAGGAGACTACTCCCCCTTTTTATACTTCTCTGTCCCTTCGTTGTTTCCTCCCGTTTCTTTTTTCTTTTCGTTTCTCCTTTCATTCACTTCCCCGATATCGGTGTTTGTGGTCTTTCTGCTTACGGTAATACCATGATGCACTAACCCTTTTCCTCGTCTCGTAATCTAATGCACCTGCGACGTAGATGGCGCCAGTCATATTCTTCACGGCGAATGCACCGCCTATGTTACCGCTCGTAATCTCATATCGAATACGCGAGGCTGTAAAATGCAGAGAAAGATCTTCTTCAGGATGGAATTCTTCCGTGGGAAATTGCGACGGCACTTTTATAAACACTTTTGCCAAAGTGTCGTCTGTGCGTTGCTTGCGAAACTTTAAATATCTTAATAAAATTTTCTGCTTCAGCGACTCGAACGAACGAACAACGAGAAGGAATGCACAGGATAAGCCAAGCTCATCTATTTTTTTTTTTTTTTTTAAACGAAGCATCAAAATATAAGGAAAAATTAGTTTTGTTAACCTCTTGCACACGTCGGGAATTTTTTCTCCCAAATTGCAACGTTTTCTTAGTTTTTATGTATATTTGAATGTAGCCCAGGCAAAGTTTATTGCTTCTTAATAATTTCTATCCCAGATTGATATCATGCCGACGAGTTCAAAGGGAAAAGAAAGCGACGGATTATTGTACATCGGCTCGGTCGCTCGTTATGGTCCGCGCGCCAGTTGCCAGCGTAATGGGTTAATTCTGAATTATTAAATAACTAAATTTATTATTAAATTTATTAATAATTAAATTTAAAATTTTGAAAATTCAAAATTGCGAAAATCCAATGTTTATTAATAAATATTTATTAAATAAATGAAATTTTATTTCGAAGACTCAAGGGAGTTTTTCAGTAGGGAGTGATTTTTGGCACACTCTGCACAATGAGGAGCATAATTGTAACCAATGACAGTGAAAGAATTTGTCGACGATTTAAATTCATAATATTGATTTGTAAGAATTTGAATTATAACTGATTCGTAAGAAATGATCATGCAGCTTTACGATCGTGAGCCTCTTCTCTTCGAAGATAATTTTCGAAAAGGGCACGTTTTGTTTTTCTCGAAAATTGCGAGAATTCAATGTTTATTAATAAATATTTATTAAATAAATGAAATTTAATTTCGAAGACTCAAGTTTCAGTAGGGAGTGATTTTTGGCACACTCTGCACAATGAGGAGCATAATTGTAACCAATGACAGTGAAAGAATTTGTCGACGATTTAAATTGACAATATTGATTTCTAAGAATTTGCATTATAATTGATTCGTAAGAAATGATCATGCAGCTTCACGATCGTGAGCCTCTTCTCTTCGAAGATAATTTTCGAAAAGGGCACGTTTTGTTTTTCTCGAAAATTGCGAGAATTCAATGTTTATTAATAAATATTTTATTAAATAAATGAAATTTTATTTCAAAGACTCAAATTTCGTAAAATTTGCTACACGATTTTTTTCTATTTAACTTGGTTAAATGAAATTTCATTCAACTTCAACAAAAATCGTACAGGAAAATTCTAAGAGCTCGAGGAAATTTTCGATCGTCAACTATGGCGAAATCAGTCATGAAAAATAATTTTCAATGTTTTTCCACGCCAGTTTTCAAGAAAAAAAAAGAAATATTTTACTCGCTAATGTAAAATAATGTAAAATCATCTTCAAAAAAAGAAAAAAAGAAATCTCATTCCACTTTGTCAAGATGGAAGCTTCATGCTTTAAAGTGAAATCAAAATATAGATCGTGCACAAAGTATCGACAATTTCTCATCATCATTGGCACACAGGGGAAAAAGTACGATAGCGTGAATATTAAAAAAAAAATAGTTACCAAGACAAGGGAAGATATTAATCTCGAGGAATTCGGTCAATTTCGGTGTCGCGTGTTCCGCGAAGAATAATTAAAAAAGGATCCCTCCCCTTTGCGAAACGAGTTGACACAGCCGCAAAGATAAAGCGTTTTGCATGTTTTACAAGCGACTTACGGGCAACTTCCGGGTTTTAAGATTTATTAAAACTCAGACTCTCGCTGTCGCTCTCGCTCTTGAAATTTTCACCGGCGAACGTACTTAATTATAACCAGTAATGAATTCAGTTTTCTCCCCTCACTCAGGTACGCGAAAGAAAGAAGAAGAAAAAAAAAGAAAAAGGAAAAAACGAAAAGAAGAAGAAAAAAAAGAGGCAAAGACGCGTGTTAGTCTAAGGCAGGAAGTAAGGAAGCCGAGACTTGTTTCCCTTAAACGAGCTCTATCAGGACGTAATAAATCCGTAAGATTAAGACGTCTAAGTTCTTAATTGAGGTCCACCGGATAAATATGTTTCGTGACTTTGCCCCAGCCATCTGGTATTTAAAGTTTCGTAAGCAGTTTATGTGCCTTCGGAGTCGCGGAGAGCCGGATGGATTTTAGCGAAAACTTGTTAGCCAGGTTACGGATACGCAACTTCGAAACGAAGTATAAAATCATTATCAGAGAATGAGGGGGGGTTAAGACGTGAGCTTAAATAAATACTGCATTGTATAAATAGGAAACCAGACTAGTCAATTAATTAAAAGAATGGCTCGTCTTTAGTTGTCTACTTTATAAACACCAATTTCGAATTTCCCCCTCCCAGCACATTTGCATCGCGACTTGAATCCCCGTCGGAAGTTTGTACGAACAATTATGTTACACAATCTGGTCGTTAATTATCATCCGAACAATCAATTGATTATCAAATCGTTCGCAATTTGATAATCGAAACATTTACTATCGTTTGCCATTATAATATTATAATATTAATTAGAATTTTATAATATTATGATATTAATACTATTATAATATTTAATATTAATACTTTTATAATATTATAATATTAATTACAATTTTATAATATTATAATATTAATACTGTTATAATATTTAATATTAATACTTTTATAATATTATAATATTAACACTATTATAATATTAATTACTATTTTATGGATTTATAGAAATATAAAATTGCGCGAGTACAGAAAAAAAAAAAAAAAAAATGTACAAAAGTGCAATACTTTCTTTCGTCTTGTTACATTTTCAAACAGTACAACGTTTGCGCAAACATCCGCAGTCTGATTAGAGTGAAATGCCACAGTATATACACTGATAAAATACAAAGTTTTAATCAATTGCGTTGGCAATATTACTCGCGGAATATTCCGCATCGCGATGCAAATGGAAATAATAATGTTCAGAAAAAAAAAAAAAAAAAAAATATTGCAACCAGTGTTGTTATCCAGCAAAGTTTCATCCCACGTTGCGACAGGAATTTTTTTTGACTCTAGAGAAATAAATAAAGTGTTTCTCCCGTTAATTGTTGTTATTTTTCCAAACTGACGAATCTTCCGAACGATTAAACAATTAATCAATTAATTATTCGTCGCGTCTTTTACGGGGAAAAAAAAAAAAAGAAAAGAAAAGCTGCAATATGAACGTTCGCTATAGTGCCGAAATCTAATGGCTACGTCCACTTACACTCGTCGTGATCTTTGGCGGTGACAGTGAGTACCGTGTGCTGGATATCCTCATTTTCGTCTACCTCAGCCTCGTAGAGGCCCTTGTCGAAGTAAGGCGGATTGTCGTTCTTGTCGGCTATTCCAATACGAATGAATTTCGTCACTGTAACAGACAAAAGGCAGAAAATACACAGTTAGAAATTTCGTTCCACTCGAACGTGTCGAAATGTCAGCGGGCAGACGAGAGAGATTCGAGAGCCGTCGGCGCTCGTATTTTCTCGTGATAATGCAAATTCATTTTCAGCCAGATTTGTAGTGTACGAGTACCGCGATATCAATTCCGAGAGCTTATATTACACTGCGGATAAGAAATTGGCGAACAGGAATTCTGCGCGTCTTAAAAGTTCACGAGTAATTCCCATATTTATTACGAGAGGATACTCGTAATACTTGTGGAGCATTTTTTTGACCGATGACTTCTCTATTTTCTCTGTGTTGTAAATGTGCGGGGGATGCTGCTTTGCTGTTCTTGTTAAAAAAAAAAAGTGTTTGCTATGCGGTTCAAGATTTGCATACGGGGATTTGCCAACAGCAAACCGAATAACTTTACCAAACTGTGTGGTCTGGTAGGTTACACGCAGTATGGGTTTTGACTCGCAAATCATTTATTTATTTTAGAAAACAGACTTTGTTTTATAATAATTAGTCATAAATTCATTTCTTCTGGATTTATTTAATTTAATTAATTTAATTTATATTGAAACTAATAATTTCTGTGATTTTGTAAATTTGTAAATTTGTAAGTTTGTAAATTTGTAAGTTTGTAAGTTTGTAAGTTTGTAAATTTGTAAGTTTATAAGTTTGTAAATTTGTAAATTTAGTAAATTTGTAAATTTTTAAGTTTGTAAGTTTGTAAATTTATAATTTAGTAAATTTGTAAATTTGTAAATTTATAAATTTGTAAATTTGTAAGTTTGTAAATTTGTAAGTTTGTAAATTTGTAAGTTTGTAAATTTGTAAGTTTGTAAATTTATAATTTAGTAAATTTGTAAATTTGTAAATTTATAAATTTGTAATTTAGTAAATTTGTAAATTTGTAAGTTTGTAAATTTGTAAGTTTGTAAATTTGTAAGTTCGTAAATTTGTAAGTTTGTAAATTTGTAATTTAGTAAATTTGTAAATTTGTAATTTAGTAAATTTGTAAATTTGTAAGTTTGTAAATTTGTAAGTTTATAAGTTTGTAAGTTTGTAAATTTGTAAATTTGTAAGTTTATAAGTTTGTAAAATTGTAAATTTGCAAATTTGTAAGTTTGTAAATTTATAAATTTGTAAATTCGTAAGTTTGTAAATTTGTAAATTTGTAAGTTTGCAAATTTGTAAGTTTGCAAATTTGTAAGTTTGTAAATTTGTAAATTTATAAATTTGTAAGTATGTAAGTTTGTAAGTTTGTAAATTTGTAATTTAGTAAATTTGTAAATTTGTAATTTAGTAAATTTGTAAATTTGTAAATTTGTAATTTAGTAAATTTGTAAATTTGTAAGTTTATAAATTTATAAGTTTGTAAATTTGTAATTTAGTAAATTTGTAAATTTGTAATTTAGTAAATTTGTAATTTAGTAAATTTGTAAATTTGTAAATTTGTAAATTTGTAAATTTGCAAATTTGTAAGTTTGTAAATTTATAAATTTGTAAATTTGTAAGTTTGTAAATTTGTAAATTTGTAAGTTTGTAAATTTTTAAGTTTGTAAATTTGTAAATTTGTAAATTTTGTAAATTCAAATTTACGGAGCAAACAGATCTCAACTAATGCAGATGGGTAGATCAGCGGGACGCACATATATGTATATGTACATCAGAGTGAAATTTTCTACTTGTCGATTTTCATTCAGGTACGAACAAGATCGGGCGACGTTCTCCACTTGTTCCAAGAACTTGATATTTCACGGTTAATTTATGCAGATAATTTAATGGAAAATTCATGTTCGGTAATTTATTAGCTCCCGTTGCGGGTCGGGAAAGATTTGAGGAACCCGGTATCGATCTTCGCGATAAAATGGTTAAACGAAGACAGAAGTTCATTACGGAAGCAGCAACGGCTGCTGATTTATCATGAAATCACAGGCTGCGGTCAGTCGAGCTCTTTTTTTTTTCTCTCTTTTTCCTTCACCTATTTCACCCCGCGAAATTAGAAGAAGAAAATCAAGTCAGCTCAAAGCGTTACCGCTGGATTGAAGATGTAATATTTAGTCTAGAAATGCATTTAATCTAACTATACATTAAATATTAATATATATATTTAATTATTATAATAATGTATTATTGCAATATAATAGTTATTATATCAATATAATATAATAGCCTATATAATCTATAATATAATAATTATATCAACTATTATATTGTAATAATATATTAAAATATATAGGATAATATATATTTTTTTTATATTATTTAATAACACATGTATATGTATAAAAATATATTTTTATGAGAGATAAATCAGCTATTTTTTACGCGTCTGATAACTCTCGTCTCTCGTCATGTTCCGTCTGGAAACTCTCGAAATAAATATCTATTAAAAATTAAACCACCGTTGAAACGTTCAAAGTTGCCAGCAGCTTTGCCGTACTGTCACAGAAAATTCAAACATTTCTCGAACAAACGGGAGAACAGCTCGAAACGCGTTCATTAAAATTCCTTGCCTTCCCCTTGCACAGACCAACTCCACCGTGAGTTCTCGCAATGCCATCTCTAAACACAAAAGATCAGAACATCAACGCCGGGAGCAACTTTCTTCTTCCTCTGAAGGAGAAGAAGAAGAAAAAGAGGAGCTCTTGCGTGCGATTTCTTTGCGTAAAAATACCATTCGAGATTAATTATTTTACAGATTAAAATATCCTCTGACTTAATTAATTAATAAAATTTCAACATGCAAGGTGCACACGAGCCGTTCATTTTCAAAAATGGCCTAGGTCCGTTTTTTTTTTTCTGTTTTGATACTGTCATTTCTATGTTGCCTTTTAAACAAATTTTTCAACAAAATCACTTGAGATTTTGTACATGGAGAATTAACTGATTAATAGAGCTAATAAAGATTTTTATTATGAAAGTCCCATTTTAAGAGTAACATTGAATTATTATAATATTATTTATAACATTAATTATAATATTATAATATTATTAATATTATAATATTGAATTGACACCGCTGTACAAAAATGTAAGACCAACATTAATATACAACGATATAAATGGATTTGTTGCACTACATACCACCATAATTATTTGAAATTCTTCCCACATACGCAAATTGAGGAAGAATGAACTATAAATTACGAAATATTATTTGAATGTAACAGTTCTTGAATAGTGAAGATAAAAGTTAGATATTTTTTATTCTTATAACAAAAAATTATATATATATATATATATATACTATTTATAGTATTATTAATAAATAAAAATATTATTAATAATAAAAATTATATATAATTATATATAAATTTTATATAATTATAATATTTGAGTATTAAATTATATAAATTAATTATATTAAATATAAATTATACATATTGAGTATTAAATTATACAAATTAATTATATTAAACATAAATTATATATAATTATAATATTTGAGTATTAAATTATATAGCATTATTAATAATAAAAATTATTTATATATATATATACTATTCATTTCATTTTAAAGGAATATTATTTTTCTCAAGAAACCAATGCCTTTTTTAAAAATTGAGAAAGTTATTTTTAAAAGTGATTCAAGTCCATTTATAGCCAAAACGTGTTATTTTCATCAAATAATGTCTATCGGTGTACCAACTGAACGATAAGAAACAGAAAAACATTATACTACCCTATTTGTCAGTTGCCAATATTTTCAAATATTAGTAAAAATATTTTATACTATTTAAGAACAAATGGCTCATATAGTGAATAACTGTAGCGCTTTGAAAGTCGCTAAAATGGAAGTTGAACACCAGGAGAGGAGGGCGTTGTTCCTGCGCCAATTTTCATGCTGGGGGGAGGGCGGGGGGGGGGGGGGGGGGGGGGGGGGGGGGGAGCTGGAATTCGCGCGTAAGCTCACTGCCATCGGCGAAACGACGTATCTGAAATATCTGCGCGTCGTTAATAGGCGGATTATTAAGATGGATTCCCGCGTCAATTCGCCAAACGCCCCGGATGCAACACGCCGCTCCAGGCAATTTGCTCTCCAGAGAGAGAATGAGAGAGAGAGAGAGAGAGAGAGAGAGAGAGAGAGAGAGAGAGAGAGAGAGAGAGTTTAACTTGCCTCGATTCTCTTTGGCCGACAAATGCCTGTCTGATTAAGATAATTCTCCCCCTATTCGGGGAGAGACTTCGCGTGACTCTCAATCCTCATCGTTCGCGATTAATCCCGCTCGAAAAATGATCCGCGAATTGCGCGCGGCCCGACATCGTTCCCGGAAGATTTTCACAGCCGGCTATAGAGGGAACTGGGACGGGAATGGCCGCGTTTTTGCGGGAACCAGGCCGACAGCGATCGGAATCTCTTTGAGGGGAAACGCTGTCTTTGCCGCGACGACGATCCGCGCGATTCTTCGTTCCTGGAATCCGCCGATGTATCGTGTACACGTATGACGTAACGAGATTTCGAAGACTTTTATGAGAGATCGGATCATACATATTGCGATGATTACGTATTTGCAATCGATAATTAACTAAATAGTCACACTAATCGTAATCGTTAATTTTTGTGACTTGCAATCGTTAATCAGTAATTTTTTCAATGATTAAGCGTTCGATTTATATCTTTGAAACAACTCGCTGTTTGTTGCATCTGCATAAAAAAATGTATATATCATTTCATTGACACAAAATTAACACGACCTTCATTATTGCCTCTTAGAAATCACGCATATTTTTATTTGAAATACTTTACGAGCTGTTTCAAGTCGTCACGAAACTCACCCTGTGTGTATATATATTTCTCATCGACAGCTGGATAAAAAGAATCATATCGTTTCACTTGGAAAATTGAACAAATGACCTCAGAAAACTACGCGACTTTCCTTTGAAATATATATCTCGCTCGTTGCGTTACGACGTGCTTCCTCCTGTACCACATTTAGTATTTAACCAGTTGCGCTGGCGATTGATTGCGGACCA